ACTGAACACTGTAAAAATGATCTAGAAGTAAGTAAAAAAGTCTTAAATTAAGTGTATTTACCCTTGATTTGAATAGGTAAATTTGATAATTTGCCAATGGAATGAGTATTTTTACCCTTTAAAAAAGATAATTAGATAATATGCACTTGGAATAAGACAATGCAATTGTGTTTTCTTATTTTAAATCTAAATTTTCTTGTTCCATTGGCAAAATATCTCTTTAATCTCCTCAATTTAAGAAGAAATGCACTTATTTTAAGAAAAAATTACTTATTTAGATTTTTTCCAGTGAAGCATTTTGATGGCCACAAAATGTAACATTTATGAACCTAAAATAACATTAAAAATCTATAAAAAGATGGTGAAACTGCTGTTTTTCAAGCCACAAATAAGCCCCAGTTCCTTTTCTGAGCTGGATTTTGTACATTTTCAGCCTTAGATATTGTAATAAAACAAAATAAGGTGTCCAAACTTCAAAAATATCAGAGCGTTGTTAGTAAACTGGCTGCGCACATTTCACTCTTACGCAAGCAGGTAACACGGCTCTGCTTTATGCAACCCTGCAATATCTACCCTTATTTTTAACTGGCTACAGAGCCAAACAGCCGACATGGTGCAGGGATGATGGTCTGGGATTTTTCTTCTTTAGGAGTTGGGCATCTAAAGCTAAAGCTTGGACTGAACTGGGTCACTAACAGAACAATAATCCCAACAGCAGCAGATCCAGAAGCGAACCTAGAGGCTGCTCTGGCCTAGTCAAAGTTCAAACCTGAGGTGGAATCATCAGAAACCGGTTCTCCAGAATGATTCGAGTCACAGATTAGTCCAAGGCTACTGCTAAAGGTTCGTCCCCAAGCTGCTGATCGAGGATCAGACAGATTAAAGCCGAGATGCTGAGCATCTTTACTTTAGGCGACTGAAAGCAGCATCTGTTGAGCGGTCAGGCATTCCTGTCTTCCTCTGAACAGGGACCGTGGATCCGCCCTCTGAGGTGTTTTCTTGTGAAAAAGGTGTGAAGAACACAAGCGTGTCATCGTGCCAGAGGGGCTGCAGGCTGCCTGGTGAATCAGGCGAGTCAGGCTGTATTAAATTACCTCCCAGAGAAATGTGACACGCTGCTGCTCTTCCTCATTGGAAACATTTCAGGTAAATCATTTTAGCAAATGTTTCTTGGCTTTATCTGAGTATTTTAGGCTATATTTAGACCTTCACTTCCAGCCAGGCTTTAGTCCCTTTGCTAGAGCTCATTTTAATCACTACTCTGGCTGATCAGTCGTTGAGGGGGGTCAGTCTTTGCTGTTTGCAGTCGAGTGTTTGGGACTCGGCCATCTGGGCCGGGGGGGGTCGGTCTCTGTCTCCGGCGCCCTGCTGAAGAGTGATGGTAGGATGGAACGAAAGAAAAACAGACAGATCAGGGTTTAAGTCTCGTTTATGCTCAGAAACCAGGTCATCTGCGTGTGTTTCACAGTTAGCGCAGATAGAATTGTCGGTGACCGCAGACGGTGCCGCAGATAGCGCCGCACGGATTGATCAATTCTACATCCGCTCTACACTTTGCGTATTTCCTGATATCTAAAGGCAGAAACTCTGGCTGTAGTGCCGTCCACAACGCCTGGCACACTCTCCCAGACACCGTACAGGATGCTAGCTTGTAAGCTCTGTGTGACGGTCTTTTGGTTTGCACCCGAAGCCAAAACACGCAGCGTCTTCAATCACGGGTAACCTGTGTCGTCTGGCGTTGGATGAGGGGTTGTAGACGGCGAAAAAGCTTGTCAAAACGACACACGGACCCCCACAACCCCAGCTAGTTCCTGATTGATCCTCTTGCGTTCTGGTGTGGAATAACGTAGCGCGGATCAACCTGAGTGAAGTTGGCCCCCCCACCTTCTTCAAATCAGACAAAATTAGTGTCAAACGTTTGTGCAGCAAAAATTTTCATTTGTGCCGCTATCATTTTAAAGATATAAAGAGATGTTTCTAGAGGTCATCAAAGGTCAACCAGCCCCCCCACCTTCTTCAAATTAGACAAAAATGGTGTCAAACGTTTGTGCTACTTTGGGCTGGTTTATGCAGCAAAAACAGATGTTAACTGACCTTTGATGACCTCTAGAAACATCTCTTTATATCTTTAAATTGATAGCGGCACAAAGGAAATATTTTGCTGCACAAACCAGCACAAACGTTTGACACCAATTTTGTCTAATTTGAAGAAAGTGGGGGGGCTGGTTGACCTTTGATGACCTCTAGAAACATCTCTTTATATCTTTAAATTGATAGCGGCACAAAGGAAAATTTTTGCTGCACAAACGTTTGACA